AAAAAAATATTGGTAACACTTTATTTTAAGGACCAATTTTCACATGCATATATTACTAGCATATTGGCTATTTATTAGTACTTATAAGGCACATATTAATGCCCTATTCAGCATGACCATATTCTAGATCAGTGGTTTTCAATACTGGTCCTGGGGCCCCACCGCTCTGCACATTTTGAGTGTCTCCCTCATTTAACAGCCCTGATTCAGATCATCAGCTCGTTAGGAGAGACTCGAACTCAACTGAGTGTGTCAGATAAGAGAGACACACAGAATGAGCAGAGCAGGACCAGGACTGAAAACCACTGTTCTAGATTCCTTAATCCAACCCTATACCTAAACTTAACAACTACCTTACTAACTATTAATAAGCAGCCAATTAGGATTTTATTGAGGAAAAGTCATAGTTAATAGTTAGTTAAGAGTGAGAATTGGACTTTAATGTGTAAATAAAGTGTGACTAAAATACTTGGTAAAATGTTTCAATCGCAAGCTATGTCCATGTTTGTACTGTATGTAATTACAGTGTGTGTTTCTGATAAAGAGAGAATCTTTATCAGAAAGAAGGGAAAAATAGCATGTCATTGTATATGCCAGTGGTTCTGTAATCCACCGCTCTGCACATTTAGTACGTCTCTCTTATCTAACACACCTGATTCAGACCATCAGCTCGCTAGGAGACAGCTCTATGAACTGAGCATTGACAGGGTCCCTACGTAGTGTTCACCGCTCCCTATTCCCTGAACGTGAGAACCGCATCCATGCTAGCTTTCTTTCCTCCTTCAGATGTGTGCTGATCTCAAACATGCCGTCTTTGCAATCCAATGGACAGAAATCTGTCTGTGTCTAGTGGTGGAGAAAGTAATCCTAGAGTATTAGTGTACTCGGCCAACACATTCCTTTCTATTTGTGACATCTGAAAGAAGTTTAGTGTCCTTCTTTCTTAATTATTTATACGTCCTTCTTTCTAAAATTATTTCTTAACTGTGAATAGCTCAAAAGTCCTGCTTATCGGACTGAAAGACATCAAACAACATCAGACTGTGTTTCCCAAAAGCATCTTTAGCCTATAAGTAGATTGTAGAGACTACTGGCACTGCCCGCATTTTGATTCAGCAAATCAGTTTGACAGAACCAAGACAACACGTTTAATATTCATGAGCCCAACAACCTGCCAGGCATTAACGTGACAGAGCAGAATGTACAGTAAGTAATATTAACAATCAAACAGCATTTTTATATTTGTTATCTGTCCTTTTTTAACAGTTCTACTATGGCATACTGTATACGCAGTCTTCCACATGACATGCAGAAAAAGAAATGACGTTGCAATAGAAGTAATATAGTAGTAATATAATTTTTTAGCAATATTAATAGTAATGTCATAGTATTATTCATATTCAGCAAACTCAGACGTATATACTTAAAATCTTTTCAGTTTAACCAGAAGAAACCAGTAATTAAAACTGTTAAAAATAATGTAAAAATAGTCCTATGACAATCAGTTAAACAGTTTGAGCATTGGCCAGATGTACTTTCTATTAGAGAATCCTACTAAATAACTATTTGATGCTCCAAAATGAACAACAAAAGTGGTTAGATTCAAGTGTTAATCCAGGATACATGTTCTTTCCAAGCCATTGAAAGAAATGTTTGAGAAACATCAGGAACATCTCTTTGCATCACAGTGATTTTGGAACACTGTAAAATCAAAAGATGTGAGAAAATATTTTCCATGTTTACTAGACACTCATATCTTTTTGCCAAAGGACGTGTACATGCACACACAGGAATACACACTCCCACAACAAACTAGAGCATCAGTTTCTACATCGTCACTACTAAGACGAAGCGATTAAATGCCCAAAGAAAAAACTAAACATACGCTGATCATTATGTCTGAACAAGAGTTTTTTCCACCCTCCAGTATTTCTTGGTTTCCTTTGAGTTTTGCGCAAATGAATAAGCTGACTGTATTTTAATGTGATGTTCTGGGTACACCATTAAAGCGTGTGTGTCTGTGTGTTCATGTTCCTGCAGTAATTATAGCCTGACAGTGGCTGACAGCATGACCTTTTGGGTCAGATCTGCTTGTCAGCTCATTTGCACTATTATAAGTTATTGTGTGTGTGTGTGTGTGTGTGTGTGTGAGTGTGTTGGCCCTTTATGAACACAAAAGGGGGACTATTTCACAGAACAAAAAGGCGCAGAATTCAAGAGTAGGTGTAGAAAGCCACAATCAGCTTCTAGAAAACATGCAGAACTAGAACAGGAACGTCTTTTTCAAGACAAACGTTGAACGTTAGTTAGTCTCCAAATCGTGCGAACAGATCGCAGATGTTTCTGATCACAATTATAAGCATGTTTCACGGTTTATTGTTTTGTTCAGTCGGTGAGGGATACAGACATCAGACTGATTTCTTTGTTTCATGTCATCTCATGCACAGGAAGTCCATCTGAAATGTAAACCGATTAATTCCTCTTCTTTTTTCCACTATCCATATGAAATGATTGGTATTGACAGCTGAAGTATTGGACGTGACAGCGCATAAAGAGGCCTGATTTATTCCATGACGCGGTGATTCCCTCACTGCCGTTCTCCCATCAGCTGGCCACTGTACGAGAGTTTGTGGAGATTTTGAGATGATGAGAGCTGTGCATAATGAATTCAGTGAGGCTTAGAGGAAGCCCAGCAGAATGATGTTATTGATGAATGATGTGCTTTAAGAATGAGACTTCGGTCGCCCGTCAGTTCCTGGCCCATTATATTCCTCATTGTAATTCTGAAAGAAAATTAAGGCTTCTTCAGGACGTCTTCAAAAGTGAGAAAGTGACGCAACACTCAGCTCAAACTCAACGTCATGCAATCTAGCAAAGCCAGCTAAGGGACACAAACACGTCAATCACTAAGAGTGTGTTACTAACAGACTCCACAGTCAAAAAACTAGTGTTATGGCCGTTTTTACTACAGCTATATGTTCTAAACTCATGGTGTCTCATATTTTAGAGCAGTCAATGCAATTTATGAAAGAAATCAGTTAAATCCGTTTGTGTGTGGGAAAAAAAATCAGTCAGATGTCATTTTCATAAGCAACTGTAATTTAATTACACATTTTTCTCAGTAATTATAACAGCTTACGGTAACATTTATTTTATAATTAAATTATGTAATTTAGATACATGTAACTAGTTACTCCTCAACACTGGTGACCAATAGCCAATGCATTTTGTGGCCAGTGCCACTATATTCTGTGCAGTGTGTTTTGGATATATACTGCACAGTATGTAGCAACTCAAGTCATCTGAGTATTTCTTTAGCTGAGAAAAAAAGGTATAAATATAGCAAGCGTTGAAAACATATCAAACATGCTGCTAATATATCATCTCATCTGATGGCATTCAATCATGGTACCTGCCTTTACTTACTAGGACCACTATATTAGCCTCTTTCTTAAAGATGATCTTGTTAGATCATGCCTCGACGCCTGATAATTAAGATCCAGCTCCAGACGCCAGATCCTGTCAGAAAATATCCGTTTTGTCTGGTACCAGAACAACTAGTCAGCAAAGTAGTCTAATACCCAAAACTGTATTAACAGTCCTCTATCAACAAGAAGTTGGCTGAAGAAATAGCCAGTGAAGAGCAGAAGCAGGAGACGAAGTGATGATGATTAAAAAGGAGCAGGGTTTATTGAATAGTCTTAGACTTCGTCTGACCAGCACAAACCAACAAGCATTGTCCACAACATCCCATAAACCTTGAGTTTCCATAAACATTCCCTCCTGTCTCTCGTTCATGAAGACAAACTGCCCTTGACTGAACAACAATGGAAAAACAGTATAAAAGACAATAATATGATATATAATGTAAACGACTAATCAATAAATGAATCAATGAAATGGTTATAATGATTATTATAAATGATTATTTGATGAAATTGAAAAATAAAAGGATTAAATGATAAATGATTATAAATGAATGAAGAATAAATGAATGAATAAATAATATAAAAGAAAGTAAAACACACAGTTTGCATTCGAGGATCCTCAGAAACTTAATAATATTTGCTACAAATCTGGAACTGAAATTTTACATTTCAGTTTTTAAACATATTGCATGTCATCAATCAATTTGTTCTGTGTTATTTTATTGCGGAAATGTGTTAATGGTGACCTACCAAAGGACTGCGGATGAAAAGGTGCGATGCACTAAATGAAAACATTTATGTTAAATATTGGTCCCTTTCCAATGGCAAAAAAAGCTCTCATTGGTCTAAAGAAAGTCATTTTATATGCCATTGTGTATTTTTGTAGGTTTTATACTATATGTATTGTATTGTCTGTTCTTTCATTATTGTCTGAGCCCAGAAAAGCGCTGTTTTATGAATGACCAGGACTGCCCCCCTCAGGACAAACCGCGCGTGGCGTCGCATCAAAGGCATGAATTCCGCCGAGATGACGTCAGCGGGTCGCGCGGAGGGGGCGAGGAGCGCCTGTATAAAGTATCGTGCGACTTTGACGCTGCTTCACTCCACTAACCTCGGCCTGAGCGGTCAAACGACCGAGGAGCGCCGCGTGATCAGCGATACACCTGGGTTTCCAGCTTCAACAGGCTCCAGGTGAGTCAGCTCCGCACTGCAGGTGAGACGAGATGTAACATTCTCCGTAACACTTTATTTTAAGGTGTCCTTGTTACTCATGTTACATGTACTTACTATTATAATAACAATAAAGTATGCATAATTCCATGCAAGTAAGCCTAAGCCAAACCTGAATCCTAAACCTAACCATGTAGTAAGTACATGTAGTTAATTGCTTAGTATTTAAATGTATAATTACACTGTAACAAGGACTTTGTGTAAAATGCAGTGTAACCACATTCTCTAATCTGAGCGATGACCAGATGCATGTTGTGTTCATGTGTTACGTGTCACATGTATCAGGTTATCATGGTTTGCGTGTGCAGCTGTAGCTCTGATGTGTTTTGCTGAACAGGACAGAGCTTGTCATGAGGGCGGCGTGTGTGATCATCTTGGCCTCTCTGGCGGTGTCCATGTCACCCGGGACCCAGGCTCAGACTCTGCCGGGTGAGGGTGACCCGTCTCCGGATGAGCTGCTCCAGCTGCTCCGCTCCATGCTCACACAGATGGAGGACGAGAACAACGCCAACGGTGTCTGCTCACATTCACTTACTCAATTCCTTCCAGCTCTCTCTTAAAACTACTGCGACATAAGACAGTTCATAGAGATTGTGTTCTTTTAACGACAGATTATTTTGTCACAATATTCATTCGATCACTATTCAATTTTTTTTTATTAATAACAGGAATAATAATAACTCTTTTTATTATTAATAAGCTATTATAGCCTATGTATTGCTCAACCCAACATCGAAGTGGGAAAGTTTAAAATCCGCAAATTAGTATTTTTTTGCTAACACTTTATTTTAAGGTGTCCTTGTTACACGTTACATGTGAACTATTATAATTACTATTATAATAACAATTAACTAGGCATTATTACATGCAAATAACCCTAAGACAAACCCTAATTCTAATCCTAACCATACAGTAAGTGCATACAGTATAGTTAATTAATATTATTCAGTACTTGAATGTGTAATTACACCGTAACAATTACACCTTAAAATAAAGTGTAACCTCTTTTGCATGTAACAAATGGACAATAAATACAAATTGTGCTTTTTGTGGATACATTTACAATCACAACAACTGCAGCGAAACATAAAAAACGGGGAATCACAAGCACAAAGTTTCGAAAGAAACCATTTATACTCTGTAGAAATGATTGTGTTGAATTCTCCGTGGCATCAAGACACTCAGAAATGTTCCCAGAGTTACAAAAGTCCAGATGCGTGTGTGAACCCCTCTATCTCTCTCCAGGAGAGCAGACGGAGTGGCTGGAGAAGAGACAGCATCCCGGTAAACGCGAGGAGGAGGACAGCGGCCGGCTGACGAGGCAGCACCCCGGGAAGCGGCTGTCTCTGGAGCAGGTGATGCTGGAGGAGCCCAGCGCGCAGAGCGAGCTCTCCAAGCGCCAGCACCCCGGCAAACGATACCTGATGCTGCTCCACAAACGGAGAGAGCTGCAGGAGGCAGAGGGGGACTTCTCGGACCTGGCCAAGCGCCAGCACCCCGGGAAGAGGCTGGAGCTCCTGGACAGAAGCGGCGCCGAGGAGAAGCGGCAGCATCCCGGCAAACGCCTCGAGCTGGAGGACGATCTCACGGAGCGAGAGTGACTGGCAAAAGAGTTCGCTGAATTGTCCGAGTTGTTAAAACGGATGGTTAAGTACGTGTTAATTGCTTTCCACAGCGTCCGACTGATGGAAAACGCACTCGTCTCCATGTGTCCTATACAACGTGTTCCTGGATCAACATCCTTATTGATCCTGGAACAACATTCCAATCAACCAATCAGAATTGAGGGATAACTTTTCTCAGTTCTCAGTTTTCGGCTTACGATCAGGGTTAGGTGCTTCCACACCACTGTTAATCAGCTATCATTTCCCAATGATTTTAGGAATAAATTATGGGTAGAGTTGCCCTTACGAAAATTAATCATGTGTTTACAGCAAATAAAACCAAAAAACCATGGTTATTACAGTTCAACCATGGTAGGCTAACCACAATTTAACTATGGTTTTGATACACTATGTAGTAAAACTGTGGTTACACAAATGGTAATCAAAAAACCACTACAATAAAACCATGGTTAATTTTCGAAAGTGTAGGCTTAGGGGTAAGGATTGGGCAAACATGTCTTACTTGGCAAAACCACGGCGACCGCTTTGTTTTACCGGTCGCTCTCACGTTTCTCGTTTCGTTCCAGCAAGAGGGTGTTTATCAAGTTGTTTTTCGTCTCTACAGCAGTTGAATCTGCTGAGCCCTGCTCCACATGTCTGGTTTAACACACCGCTGTGCTGCTCCACGAGGTTCGTCTCAAACCAAACATTTCACTAATGCATGCGAGCAGAGAACATCTCCAGCGAGATCCCCATATCACGCAAATCTCCAGTGCCAATCTCCCTCGAACTATGAAACGGGTTGCCGGAATATTTTTCTACAGAAGCTAGCTTAATTCTTGCATGACTTGACCTGTACATGATTTCATGATTTATCTTTGTTCTATTGATAAAGAGCATATAAATGATTATAATGTTGTACAATAAAATGCTTCCGATGCCAATGTCTGCTTTGGGTTTGAGCATCTAACATTCACAGGAAGGGAAAACAGAAAGTCACAGTTGACTGTAGCGCGTGGAATGCATCAGATTCAGAGTCAGTCAGAATCACACACACCATCGAGACTGAAAGAGATAGGAGAGTCATGGAGAGGGCTGGGTTTATTTTTACTTCAAACCAGTTAATGTATTGACACATGCCATTAAGATGTATAAGAAAGGTGTATTTACTACAAAAGACTGCTTATTGGAAAGTAATGCAGTTTACTAACCCTGTTGAAAAAACCAGCATATGCTGGTTAGGTATGTTTTGACGCTGGGATGCTGGTTTATGCCACGCCAATTCTGTGACCGGGGCATGTTGTCACCTGCTGTTATTATAAGACTGATTTGGGAGAAGAGTTTAAACAATACAATATAAACTGAAACATGTATTTCTGGCTTTTTGATTGATTTTAAATGGCAATATAATGACAAATTCATGAAGCAGCATAAATGGAAAAGGTAAAAAAAAAAAAAAAAAATCTCACCATTGTTTTGAGTGAATTTATAACCGCTTCACGGGGCTTATTGCTTTAGTATGCAACAGCATACAAATACTTCTTTCTTTTTGCTTTGCTTAAAAGTGTTAATCATAATGACTCCTTCAAAGGCTTTCTAGTGAGCTAAACGCTTATTTGTGTAAGGCTGTTCTGACTTGGATACACTTTCATTATAATGTCCTTTCTGATTTTATGTGTGTGTGTGTGTGTGTGTTCTATATATAGAAAAAGAGAGAGAGAGAGAAATAGGAAAAAGGTAAAACAGTCATTTACCGGTTTCTTTTTCTTTTCTTTTTTTTGTGAAAACAGATTAAGATGAGTTCCATGCAACTCAACCTTTGAAGACCCAGAAAAGTCATAAAGGTGTCATAAAACGAATCCAATTTTTAAGTCTTGTCACTTTACATGATGAACAGATGTAACTCAGCTCAAACATCAGTCCTGCTCCTGAAGAGTTCAGCTCCAGTCCTGACCAAACACTTGTGTTCAACTACACAACACTGTTTTGTAATATACAGTGTATAAGTTTACAGCAGAGGCTATGAGAGATTATTATGAGACATCGTGACAGTAAATTTGATCTCTCTTTATCTGATGCTTCTACATATTTTGAGGAAAGACTTTGGGAGGTGTAATTTGCTTCCACTATCATTAGGGGGCAGAATTGGCATTATTAAAATAAGTGTACTCCTACATTTCTTTTACTACTTCAGTGTATGAAAAGTCTAGGTAAAAAAAAATCTAGGTATTTAAATTATAGCCTATGTTTTACAAAAAAAGGCCCAATTTACCTGGATTCACTCTTTCAATTCCCACCATGTGCAATAATATACACGTAGTGTACTACAATATACAATAAATACACTTTGCAATTGCTGATCCTTTTTCATAACTCTTGGCAAACTGATATCTTGGACTGTTAATGGGTTTACCTTGCTGAGTGCTTTTTCTCTTTCTTTTGAGCAACTCTGCATTCATTTAACATCCCTCATGCACATTTCTTCAGTAACATGGTATTCCCCATTATGAGGACCAAATGTCCCCACAAGTATATAATACTAGTAAATTGTGGCCTTGTGGGGATATTTATCTTCTTCAATCGTTTTATAAGATAAATAAAATATTTCATCATTGTCAGTTGTTTTGAATTTTACACATGAATTGAATGAACTGATGAATTTTACTCATAGCATAGGTTATATAGGTTTGTTGGATATGTTGGTTAAATAATATTTGTTAATAAATCATGTGTTTTTTAAGTAAGATACAGGATAATTTTTGATAAATCAGGGATGGCCCACTTTACCTGAAAATAAATTTGTCTGGAGTGCATGATCTCAAAACATTTGTTGTTATATCTAGCAAATGACACAAGGTATGAACTGTAGATTGAAATATTATAGCTGGACCTTAAAGTTAACAACAACAAAAAAGTCTAGGTAAAAAAAAATCTAGGTATTTAAATTATAGCCTATGTTTTACAAAAAAAGGCCCAATTTACCTGGATTCACTCTTTCAATTCCCACCATGTGCAATAATATACACGTAGTGTACTACAATATACAATAAATACACTTTGCAATTGCTGAAAATATTACTGAAACAGGATTGATTATTCAGTGTTCAGCCACAATATTCCATAAATGGTTTATTACACATAAATCTGACCTTTAAAAATACAGAAATGTCCCGTAAATCTACAAGGGTTTAACTCTAACTTGCAGTGGACGTCTCATGATTGTGTGACATTGTCTTGTTCATCAGATGAGTATCTGAGTAAATCGTGGCGGTATCCCATCGAGCTCTACTGCATTGGCAAATATGGCAACGACTCGTACCGTATCTTCTGTGTGGAGGAGTGGAGAGAGGTACAAACACTACACTACTTTACACGAGTTATGCTCTCGTGCAGCGGCTGGATGTGTGTGTGTGTGTGTGAGTGTGTGTGTGTGTGTGTGAGTGTGTGTGTATGAGTGTGTGTGTGTGTGCGAGTGTGTTTTGTTGTGAGTGTGAGTGTGTGTGTGCGAGT